GAATGGGAAAGGGGGGTTACTGGTTTTCTAGTCGGGGAAGACGGAGGCCCGCTTTTTAAAGTAGGTATAGCGCTAATATAGGATGCGTAATACTATAGCACGTCCTATACGTGCGCTATACATCCCGCCCTTTTTGAGTTCAAATATAAAATGGTACATATTATTCACCGCGCTATATATAAAATGGTACATAGTTTATTTTTTTTACCTATTTACGTCATTTGAGTCCAAAAGAACCGTAATTTGGTTCCGAACTCCTTAACTACATAGTAGTTTGAGTTTCCCTAGGTAAAACTCTACTTGTTAGCCGTTTACAAGAACTCTTAACCATACTAATACATATGATGTCGGCACAAAATGAAGAAACGTATGACATAGCTCTTTTTCGATAAACGCTCACTATTTAAGTATGATTGATTAATATGTAATTTTGTCTTTTCAGTGACATTAATATGTAATTTCACTTTAACACATAACTCTAAATATTAAATTGTGTAATTTGATGAACACTCCAAATAAATATTTTTCGAAGCCATGCATTTAAAGATGACTTTTTTCACCCTGTAAATGGCAGGAATTAGAGGTCTTAGGTCGAAGCCTTAAGTACGAAAAAATATCCTCCTTAGCCCGTTTGGACATAAGACTTTTCACTTTTTTTAAAAATATTTTCACTTTATTTTTAAAATCAGTAGTGTTTGTAATGCGTGTGCGGAATATCAAATTAAAAAAAAATAAAAAAAAATCTAGCAATGATTACCTACTACCTTAGCCTCGACCTCTTAGCTAACCCCACCACGTATCTCTCTTCCTCTCTTCTCACCATAAATGTCTTTATATTCACGTACTCCCATTCCTCACACACGCATAACCCTTTCTTCTCTGTCTGCTCTGTCACTTCTCATTTGCTTTTAATACCAATCTCATGTTTCATCCTCCTTCTGAATAGTCATATCCAGTCTTCTCTAAATCTTTTAATTATTGTTTCTTTCATTTGACTACAGACCAAAGATTTATAGCTGTGTTTTCTACCATTTCACACTTGAAAACAAGAAAAAGTTTTTCTATTCTCACAGAACCAAGAATTGTGAGAAAGGCTAAATGTGGGATCGTGAATGATTTCTATTTCCATCCTTTTTACATGCTAGAAGATTGAAGTGCTTCATTTGATCAAATAGAAAAACAGAGGTCAGCTTCTTGTTCTAACTCTCCCTTTTATTAATTCGTCCCTTTTTTCTTTTCTTGCTCAGGCCAGATTCATGTCAAAACTCTACTCTTATCTAAGATTTTGTCAGTTTTCGTGACTGGAAATGTTTTAAATGGAAAAAGATCTATTTTCTAAATCATTTGACGTGTTATTCTCTGTTTTATCAGTGAAATCCGCATCACGATAAATCTGAAGCGTCTGGAACAGTCCAAAGCTTTTTTCAGTCTCTTGTTCTTTTATAGATTTAACATATATTGACTGTAAGCGTTTATTTTTTAATTTTTATTTTCAGTATATTTTAATTTGTTATAACAAGTTATAATATATCTTATTTTTAGATTATCAATTCCATTATTTATAAATAGTTAGTACTTGCTAGATAACCTGATAGTAAAAGACATTTTATTACGTTACTATCTCGTTGTTGTACAATGGAGTATTAAACTTGTTACTATTTAGTGCTTTTTTAAGCTGATTGTGTAGGTCTATTGGAAACAACATTACAAAACAGGTGTTTGACTGCGTCAAATGGTTAAAGTTCTTTATTTTTGGGAGGGGTAATTTGTCTAAATTAACCTTTGAACATGAACTATATTTATAGTGAAACAGTGACTCCTTTTCCCTGATTGCACTTTTCATTCAAAGACGAGTTTGACAATTGTGGAGTCAGATTTTGAGCTACTATATTGGGCTCTGAGCTAAGTAGGAGGCTTGGTAAATAGTCTCTGGGACCACTTTTCTGATTGATTAAAAATAAAAAAAACTATAGTCTATCTGATATTTGGAATTGTTGGATTTTAGGTTCTGTTGCTCCATTTATGTTCCTTCTGGCCACTATATGGATTGAGCAAATCAAAACTCCAATTAGCACTTCTTTTTAATCTGAAAATCTGGCTGCATCAATTTTGTTTTTGGTAATTAAACAAATTTTATTAATCACCTAAGTATATATTTACAAAGCCACAGCTAAAATAAACACATTTAGCTGTTCATAGAGGTCTAACCAAGAGAGAATAAAACCCATGACTCTCGGGATAAAGTTTGGGATTAACTTTATTCATGTTTGATTTGGGATATTAGCTAATCTTAGGATAACTCTTATACTAAAATTGTGGGATTAGCTATCCCATATAAAAGGTGGGATAGCTAATCCCATGGGATATTCCACCATTATACCAAAACGACCCCTAAGAGTTACAAACTAAGGTGAGAATATGTATCACTTAATTATGGTTAAACAGTAAAAATGTATACATGGCAAGACTCAAATATATATCCGGAATTTATTGGTTTGATCTAAATGATGAATAAGAACAAAATAAAGGTCTAGTTTTTTGGCAGATAGTAACTTTTTTGCCTCAGCTATTGAATTTTTTTAGATCTAGTAGCAGTAATTTATTTTTTCCATGTTTGTCAATTTCAACTGCATCTTATATTTCAGGCTTTGTAAATGGCTTACTAGTTCCCCTAATATTTGAGGCACATTTTGGGCAATATTAATCAGGATTGACAAATATGGTGATCATGAGACAGACATTAGCCTGCTGCACGAGAAACAGAGAGTTTAGCATTGACTTTACTGAACAAGAGAGTGAGATTCCCCCTTCTCTCCTTCTTATTTGTTTTTACGGTATGACGTGGTGATTCTCCCTCCCTATAATTGAGGCAAATCCAACATTTTTAATCAATCAATGCGGAAAACCATCATACCTACTACTACTTTGTGGCAGTGGGCATTGGCTATAAAATTAGAAACATTAAAATATTGCCTTAGTATTATTTTGAAGATTTACAAATATATATGCTTAAAAATAACCATTACTTAGTGAACTCTGCAGATGTCTTTGCACAAAATGAGGAGTATTCTTTTCCACAAGTGAATGCTAACATATTGTCTAGATGTTTAGTGTAACTTTCTTGACTTCTGTGAGCCAGATGATACTAGAATGTAGACATTTCCATGTTAGTTATAGGAGTTAGTGTATGGTCAAAACTGATTTGAGTCAGTCGTACGGACTGGTCGAGACGATAATGTTTCGATCAAAGGATATCTGCATGACAAGCTCGGTCAAGGTCCGAAGTAAGGGCGGCAAGCTTCGAGCTCTAAGACCGATCAATGACAAGCTCGATATCATTATCGAGCTCATATTCAAATCGAACTATGAGGCAAAGCGGGGATTATCGAAGATGCATGGACCGACCAACACTTACCCCGAATACCGAGACGCCAAGTCAGAATCGAGCTCGAATCAAGGCTGAGGGCTCGATCCAATACCGAGCTCGAGCCAGTATCGAGCTCGCAGACTAGGGCCGTTGCAACCGCACTATGGGAGAGAATCTTGACGGAAATCGAGAAAAAGACAATACATCATGGACTCTCCACTACGCATTTTTTATTGTATATAAAGTAGGATCTCTCTACTATAAGAGGGACATGGATTGTAAGCAAGCGTGAGACTGGAACAAAAGATCACTTCTCATATTGAAAGATATCCCCTTGTGTTTGTTTTACTTTATCTTATTCATTCTTTTTGCTTACTATTCTCATTCTCATAGTCAAGAATACACATATTTCTATTTCTCTACACGATTTATATCAAATTATATCGCGTATCCTTAGAACCATATACAAATCTAACGAAATACGATTTTTCGGGTAAACAGTTTGGCGCCCACCGTGGGGCTAAGGGTAACAGTGGTTGTTTGATACAAGTCTGCAATACACACCAGTTTACAACTTCAAATCAACAATGGCAAACCCTCGATTGATGGCTTCACCTATTGACCACGAAGCCGGCTTTCAAGATGAAACCAACAACTTGACACCCAGGGCTGGAAGGCGAATTAACGATGTCACCGAAGCTCGAGTCGAAGTACCGCTAGATGTCAATTCACAAGTGGCTCTTGAGGCGAATCAACGTTCCGAACCGGAAAAAAGCATTCAGGGCGATACTCGATCCGTAGCTCGAGACACTCATAACATGGAGGAGATCAGAGTCAGTTAACGGATGATCTTCGATATGTTACAAGCCCAGCAAATAGCGATAGCTCAGTTGCAGAGCCAAACTTAGGTATGAAGCAGGCCGGAGCCCAATCCATTTTGAGAAATCACCCACATAACGGAACCAGCCATAGTGAAGTCAAATGAGCAAGAATCGAGGACTACTCCCGAAATTACTAAATTGCTCGAGGAACTCACAAAACGAGTCGAAGCCAACGATAAAAAAATAAAAACATATAATTCCATGGTCGATCAGATCCCGGGAGCTCCACCAATGATAAAAGGGATAGATTCGAAAAAATTCATTCAAAAGCCTTTTCCCTCGAGTGCAGCCCCAAAACCAATTCCCAAAAAATTTCATATGCCCGAAATACCCAAATATAACGGAACGACCGACCCCAACGAGCACGTCACTTCTTACACGTGTTCCATCAAGGGCAATGATTTGGAAGATGATGAGATCGAATCTGTATTATTGAAAAAATTCGGTGAAACCCTGTCAAAGGGGGCAATGGTATGGTATCATAATTTACCATCTAACTCTATTGATTCTTTTGCTATGCTTGCAGATTGCTTCGTAAAAGCACATGCCGGAGCCTTAAAGGCTGAAACCAGAAAGTCGGACCTGTTCAAGGTAATACAAAAGGATAACGAGATGCTAAGAGAGTTCGTAGCTCTTTTTCAAATGGAACGAATGGATCTGCCACCAGTCACAGACGATTGGGCTGTTCAAGCTTTCACTCAAGGTCTAAACGAGCGGAGCTCGATGGCTTCACGGTGGCTGAAGCAAAATCTGATCTAGTATCCAACTATTACTTGGACCGATGTGCACAATCGATATCAATCCAAAATAAGAGTCGAAGATGACCAGTTGATTTCTAGGTCCGTTACGAAAAAGCAAAAGTCGACCAGAGATCGATACCAGCCATATAGCGGAAACAATACTACTGCTGATTATCTGAGGCCTATTTAAAATTAACCTCGTATACTGGTGGGCTTTATCATTGAACGTATCTGTGATGATTATCAAGTTCGGTGCAAAGGACGTTACTTTGTTATTTCATGGAAAACAGTGTCTCAACAGGAGCCAAATAGTCAAAACGAACCATGGTTATGTAGTTGGCCCGATCCCTGACGCAAAACATGAACCCATGTATAATGACTTGCAAATAAAGCCCTTTTCTTTACCGATATTCTATGTTAAAGATTTATTATGCAAACAGGATCAAGTTCGAGCAAGCGCTCACTCGATCATTACGCCTACGGGCTACATTATTTCGAGTTCGAATCATTCACTCGACTAATAAGCCTACGGGCTACTTTGACTATTACGCCTACGGGCTACATTATTTCGAGTTTGAATAATTCACTCGACTACTAAGCCTACGGGCTACTTTGACTATTACGCCTACGGGCTACATTATTTCGAGTTTGAATCATTCACTCGACTACTAAGCCTACGGGCTACTTTTATTTCGAGTTCGAGCAAGCACTCACTTGACCATTACGCCTACGGTCTATATTGCATCGAGTTCGAATCATTCACTCAACTGCTAAGCCTACGGGCTACTTTTATTTCGAGTTCGAGCAAGTACTCACTCGACCATTACGCCTACGAGCTACATTATTTCGAGTTCGAATCATTCACTCGACTACTAAGCCTACATGCTACTTTTATTTTGAGTTCGATCAAGCACTCACTCGACCATTAAGTCTACGGGCTACTTTTATTTTGAGTTCGAGCAAGCACTCACTCGACTATTACACCTACGGGCTACTTTTATTTCGAGTTCGAGCAAGCACTCACTCGACTATTACACCTACGGGCTACTTTTATTTCGAGTTCGAGCAAGCACTCACTCGACCATTACGCCTACGGGCTACATTGTATCGAGTTCGAATCATTCACTCGACTGCTAAGTCTTGATCTTTTCTCTTTTGTTTTGGTTTTGAGTGTGGGGGGAGGCCAAGGACTTCCTCTTCCAGGCCCTTCAAACTCCTCATCGGAAGATGTATTCGGGCTCTACGGGCTACTTTTATTTTGACTTCGAGTAAGCACTCACTCGACCATTACACCTATGAGCTACATTATTTCGAGTTTGAATCATTCACTCGACTACTAAGCCTACGGGCTACTTTTATTTCGAGTTCGAGCAAGTACTCACTCGATCATTAAGCCTACGGGCTACTTCGACCATTATGCCTACGGGCCACATTGCATCGAGTTCGAATCATTCACTCGACTGCTAAGCCTACGAACTACTTTTATTTCGAGTTCGAGCAAGCACTCACTCGACCACTAAGCCTACGGGCTACATCGACTATTATGCTTACGGGCTGCATTGCATCGAGTTCGAATCATTCACTCGACTACTAAGCCTGCGGGCTACTTTTATTTCGATTTCGAGCAAGCACTCACTCGACTATTACGCCTACGGGCTACATTATTTCGAGCAAAACTACTCATTTCTTTGAATTAATACGAACACTTGACTATTTAAGCTGAAGGATATTCGAGCCCAATAAAGCAAAAGGGGACTACCCACAAGGCCCGAAGGCAATACAGATTTAAATTCAAACTATCTATTTAGTTTGAAAGGCTATTTTTCTTTAAAAAGAAGAAAGATTTATATTTACAAATTTTTTGTACAGAGGCGGCTACTCTTCCAAAAGGAAGTTCTTTATACAAAAACCGAAAGCGGTATCAAAAGAACGCAGCGATCGACCTAAGGCCCTAAATGACTCAATCTTCATCGGAGGCCGTATTCTCGGCATCGTCCTCATCTTCAGACTCCCCTGAGTCATCGGAGTCCTCCTCAGGAAAGGCCAACCTCCGAGCTTTGTTCTCCTCCACCCTGGCGACTTCAATCTCGGCCCCAACATCATAGCCCTGAGCTTTTACCTCCTCGAAAGCCTCTCTCCGAGCCTTCCACTTTGCATGTTCGACCATGCTCGCAGCTTTGGCTTGGTTAACCTCGACATCGATCCTGAACTGAGCCACTTTGGTATCGGCTTTTTTGTTGGCCTCGATTACTTCAGATCTGGCCACTTCGAGTTCTTTGGCCAAATCTACTCTATCTAAGGTGGCCAAATCCAACCGATGCTGAAGCTCTTTCATCTTTTCGATCAGCCCTAAAGCATTTTCTTTCGCAGATCAAAGTTGGGCATCAGACATCTCCAACTAAGCTTCGACGGCTTCCTTTTTCGAGGCAAGGTTATCCATACACTTTTTAAATTCTTTTGCCTCGGCCAGTAGGGCATCTACCTGTGAGTTAAGCCGTCCAATCTGCTCGATCCTCTGCCGAACCTGCAGAATCGGATCATTAGTGATTATCTCTTTTTTATCTTCACTATCATGAAACATTCGGAATACCTGCTCAGCCATCTCCTCATGCTCTTCCCGAGCCGCTGTCAAATTTGCTCGAAGTTTTTCACTAAGAAGCTTGTACGAGTCACTCTTCTCAGTGAGGCTCCGAACCTCGGCATCATGCTCCTCCCTAATTCGAAGAAAGGCCTCATGATGCAACATCGAAGCCAGCAAATAAAAGGAGAAACATTAGAATTACCTGCAACTCTGTGTAAAAGAAGCG